CTGGCCCCTTGACTGCAGAGCCGAGTGCTACAGCGATGCGACGGATCTTCCCACCACCCGTGGTGCCGAATCCCGTTTCATCACCGCCCAGGCCTGCCCCTGCCATGGCAGCAGAGCAGCGACCCCCATCGGAGAGAGGCCTTCCAGGACCTGGCCAACTGCGACAGCCCTTGCGACAGCCTCCGTCACCCGCGACGCATGGCTCTGTCTCACGACCTGTCCAGCCCAGGCCCACCACGTCCCACCGACAGGAGCAGCCAGTGTCTACGCCTCCGCGCCCGACACCTTCGCCGCGGACTCGACGAACGCCTCCTCACACCTCGATGCCAGAACGGCCGTCCACACCTCGCTCTCCGGAGGCTGGACCGCCGCCCCTGACACCACGGGCCTCACCAGCACAGCGGGCACCCTCGACACGCACGACACGAACGCAGGCATCTCCGCGTGCAGCGTCGCAGGAGCTGCGACGTCCTCCCCCTGCTCCAGTGGACCCTCCGGTTGCTCCGCCACCGCGAGACCACCCAGCAGCACAGGGGACACGCACAGATGCTGAGGCCATCCCTCCCCAGCCAGAGCGATGCTCAGGCCAGCCAGCTCCGGGACGAACGCCCGAGCCACCGGCTGCGCCACCTCCGCCACTGGCCACTGGAGCAGAAGATGGCTACACACTTGGAGGCTTCAAGAACATCGATGGAGCCTTCAACAGCATCCTTGCGAGCTCCCTGCGAGAATTTCTGCAGGAGTACAACACTCTGGTGTCGTCGAGATCAGCTCTCCAGGGCCTCAAGGACCTGAAAGAGCAGAAGAAACGCCCGCAGTCGCTCCGCACACGCCCACCGAAGCTCAAGGTGTCTCGACATGCCCAGGACGGCCTCACGAGCAGAATTGCTGAGGCGCACGAGCGCTACCTCACGGAGCTGCACGACATTCTCATTAAGGCTCGCGAGGACGAGATCGAGACACTCCAGAGGCTCGTCTCCTCGGGTCTCAGGGATCTCTTTCGCAGCCGACTCGAGGATCTTGTCACCTCCACACTCAGCTACTGCAGCGCCACGGAGCATGATGCCGTCTACCACCACCTGCTCGCCCTCAAACAACGGTGTACCCTCAAGTTCCACACTGAGACATCGTTCTTTATGGCCGGCAAGGGAATCGAGCACCGAGCGCAGACGACAGCGACGCGGCGACTGGAGGAAGCCATCGATGCGGCGAACGCCTCTGCGGATGCCCTCCCCAAAGAGCAGACCATGGCAGAGCTTGTGAACGCCGCTGTTACGAAGGCCCTCCAAAGCCAGCGACATGCCACGCCGTCGAATGCAGGAAAAAAGAAGAGAAAGCGAGAAAAGAAGAACAAAGCGCGAGAGCAACGTGACAGCACACCGGGTAAGCATGCGCAGGAATCGAGCAAGAGGCACCGCGTCTCCTTCGCCGCCAACGCCGACGAAGCTGGATCCCGGTCGGCAACACCCGCCCGCAATGACCAGGGAAACGGACAGCGGCGGAACGGGGCTACTGGGACTCCTCCCACCCGTTCCGCTGCATCGGCTTCTTCTTCGAGGGGGACTCCGCGCCGGACATCTCCAGCCCGGCCTGGTTCCCGCGAAAAGAATGCTGGACGCGATGGCCCTCACCGTTCTGGCCGCAGCAGCTCCCCACAGCGGCGCCCACGCTCCACGACACCGGCACCGGTCACCTCAGGTCCCCAGCGACCTCGAGGACGTTCACCGACCAGAGGCAGCAAGGGAGCTCGCACACGCAGCCCTCGACCTCGCCCTGGACGGAGCCAGACCCCTGCCAGCCGCAGGAGCAGGACCCCAGCACCACGACGCCGCTCTCGCTCGCGCTCACGTTCGCCAACCGCCAAAGTCCCCGTGAAGGGAATCCTCAAGACTACTGGTCACCACTGACCAGTCCGTCTAAGGCCACCCTCGACATCGCAGGACAACGGCCAGTCTCGAAGTTCGAGAACCGAGTGGAGACTGGAGCCGTACACAACCTCTCGAGCAGGACTCTCTCAGCTGCCGAGATCCGTCTCCTCTCCCTCGGCCTGCGGTACATCCCGAACCCGGCACCGCTCAGAGCCCCACAGATCGTGGAAAGCTCTGATGCTCTCTGCCGAGCCGTCCGACTCCGTCACCTCTTCAAGGACGACGACTCAGCCCTGCCGGAGTTCCGAGTACCGAACCCGAGCTTCGAGCCGCCTCCAGCACCAGCGTATGTGGAACGACGCCTTGCACACGTGCGAGGCAGCCTGCTCCACAGGCTGGAAGGAGCACACAAGCCTCGCTCCTTCGCTCACGGTTGGAAAAAGCGTGCTCTCCACTCTCTCGCAACGGACACATCCATCGTCATCAAGCCTGCGGACAAAAATCTTGGAGCGGTGGTGCTGGATCGTGATTGGTACACGAAGGAGGCTCTCCGCCAACTGAACGACCCACTCGTTTATGTGAAGGTCCCCTCCGTGCCATCCAAATCCCTCCAGGAACGCCTCGCCGAGCTCATCACAAAGTACCGCAGCTGCTCGTGGCTCGACAACTCCACGCAGCAGTTCCTGCTGCACCAGCCCGCCGTACCCCGGCAGGCTTGCATGATGTATTTTCTTCCGAAAATACACAAGCAGCCAATAAAGGGCCGACCCATCGCAAGCTATATCGGTACGTTGTGGGAGCCCCTCGCGCGTTGGCTTCACCGCCAGCTCTACGATATCCTGCTGAAGCAGCCAACGTTTCTTTCCGACTCGCGCACGCTGCTACAGGACCTCCTCCACCTACAGCTCCCGCGGGACTGCTGGCTCTTCACGTTCGACGTAGAGAGCCTCTACCCAAGCATCCCCACACGAGAAGGTCTCCAACGCCTCCGCGACTTTGTGTTTGCCGAGTACGGCAACACCACACGCTCGCGGTTCCTCATGGCTGCGGCTGCCCTCGTTCTGGAGCACAACTACGTGGAGTTTGACGGTAACATCTACCAGCAGATCCGCGGCACAGCAATGGGCTCCAACTTCGCGGTGGTCTACGCTTGCCTCTTCCTCTGCTCTCTCGAAGCCGAGTACAAGCATGCCACCAACGACTGGCCCTTCTATCTACGAAGGTACATAGATGACGGAGTGGGCATTTGGACAGGTACACGAGCAGGCCTCGAACGATGGCTCCGAGGATACGGCACGCTGTGTCCTTCGATCAAGATCACCTCGGTGATCTCGCTCGAAGAGTTGGATATCCTCGATATCCACTTCTTCAAAGGCCCTCGCTTTGAAGAGACAGGCTGCCTCGACTCGTCCACGTTCCAGAAGCCGCTCAACGCCTACCAGTACCTCCCCTGGACGTCGGTTCACCCACGGCACCAAAAAGTGGCATTCATCCGCAGCGAGCTCCGGAGATACCTCCTCCGCGAGAGCACGGCCGATGGATTCCACGCCATGCGCACGCGGTTCTACCACCGCCTCCGTGCCCGAGGATACCCGACCTCCTTCCTCCACCACTGCTTCTCCGGCATCTCCTACGACCAGCGACATCAAGCTCTCCTTGCACGTTCGCGCCGCTCTAGCGACGCCTGTCGACGGGCCCCCCTCGCCTTCAAGCTGCCCTACACACTCCACAGTGCGCAGCTAGGCTTGGGGGACATCCTAAACCCTAAACAGGTGATGGATGAAGCTCCCGCAGACACACTCCCCCGAGTGATCACGTGCTGGAGACGCTCCCCGAACCTCGGTTCATTTCTGGTCAGGGCTAAGCTCCCTCTGCGAGCTTAGCCACGTCTTGTACCGCACTTTGCAAGACACGGACACTTATGTTTGCATCTTTCTCCGCGTACCCGATGACTCCCAGGGTCTCGCCGATGGACTTCAGGTATGTCCCAAGTCACTCCAGGCCACCCCCCTTTCGAGTCAACGCCCGGTCAACGCGGAGTCAACGGTCAGAACGGAATATTCCCCAATATTCCGACTGTATCCCTGTTGACCGAGTCAAAACGGCATATACCGTTGGATTCTGCTCTTCCTTCCGATCGTGAATATGTGAGTTTCAACTCTGAACTCCACACACGACTCGTGGAAAAGCATGTTTTCCATTAAAACGGCGCCGCTCCCTCGACATCGGCGACACATGCCGACAGCTCGCAGGATGGCTCTCCCCCATGTAACCGCTGGACTCCGGGTATGTATGAGTGACCTCAGGCCCTCCACCATCCCAGTCCACACACGGTCAACGCGGGGTCAACGGTCAACGACCGAATATTCCGAGAATATTCCCTGCAAAGTGAACCACGTTTTTCGCCCCCGGGTACGTACAAGTGACACAAGCATTGTGGACGTAACGCATGCATCATATCATGCCGCGTTTACAAGTTATCTTGCGTCGAAGGTACGTCACCCGCCGGACGAACGCTTACTGTCTTCGGCGATTCGCCGAAGTCATTCTCCGCGACTACCACTGCTGTGGAGTAACCAACACCAGCTGTGCTACGTTCGCATCCTCGCGAGCCAACGCCGCCATGCACCTCGCATGGCTGCCACTCGGACTCGCGCCACGTGACAGAGCCAGAATATAAGTAGAGTCGGCGCCGAGCTAGGGTTAGGGTAGACGTTAGACGACTACACCCGGCTGATGAGTCCCAAAAAGGACGAAACCGGTCTCGGGTTGTCTCTTGTCTTCTCCCTCGCTCGCGAATGAATGAAAATTCATTCTCTTGCCTCCTCTACTTGCTCTCGATCACGCCGTCTCGACAACGGCACACGGAGAATGTGGATTGCACAAAGTGGCGCCGCGATCTCGCCGGATTGCAGCACCACGGGGTGCCTTTGACCCTAAACGCCTAAACGCGCCTAAACCCTAAACCCTAAACCCTAAACCCTAAACCCTAAACCCTAAACCCTAAACCCTAAACCCTAAACCCTAAACCCTAAACCTTTTGAGCCTGCCAGACTATGGCTTAAGGTCTGCCCTGCCCTCCCCTCCTCTCTGGAGGAAGGGCTCCTTCGTTCTGTTCCTCCTCGCCTGGGGCTAACCCCAAATCGCCACAGCAGCCGCCACAGCAGCTCGGCCCTGCCAGCAGCAGCAGCCGCCGACCCAGCCAACGCCAGCAGCTGCCGCGGCCGCCACAGCACGACCAGCTGCCCGCGGCTGCCACACCCAGCGCTCGGGCGAGCACCCGCCGCCCAACGCGCCGCGGCTTGGCCGGCCCAGCAGCGCCAAGCAGCACCACGGGCTGCTACGCACTGCTGCACGCCGCCAATCGCCGCCCAGGGCCGCCCCACGCGCCCCCACGCGCGCTGGATAAGCACTCGCCGCCACAACCACCGCCTGGGCAAGCATTCGCTGCCCAACGAGTGGCTGCTCGGCTCGGCCTAGCAGCGCCAAGCAGCATCACAGGCTGCTGTGCGCTGCTGCACGCCGCCCAGGGCCGCCCCACGCGCGCTGGGCACCATCCCGCGCCGCCCAGTACCGCCTGGTACCGCCCGGCATCGCCCTGCGACGCGCGACGCCGCCCATACCACGCAGTACCGCCCGTACCGCCCGGCACCGCCCAGCGACGCGCGGTACCGCCCAGCGACGTGCGGTACTGCCCGTACCGCCCGGTACCGCCCAACGACGCGCGGTACCACCCGTACCGCCCGGTACCGCCCCGCGCCGCCCAGCGCCGCGCAGCGTCTCTAGCACCGCGGCTGCCCCCAGCACTACGGCTGCCACCAGTGACGCCCAGTGATGCCAGCGACGCCACCGCCACCTTTACCATCTGCTGCTCTAGTGCCTATTCCAGACAGTCACGACGTCATGGACCCCTCACCGCTCATGCCACCAGGGCCAGCAGCACCAGGGAGCTCCAACCACGCCATGGCTACTGCAGAGACAGGTTACGCTCCAGTTCCTCCAGCTCCAGTGCTCCAATTTGAGCTGGGAACCACGTCACGAGCTACCTCGTCGCGTGAACACTCCCAGCTCCTCGCTGAGGCCATCTACGACGAACGTGCGTCGCACCGACCACTCTCGCCGTACCTCAAGCGAGTTCTGGACACTAGACGTGCGCTGCGGCTCCGCACCACGCATGTCATCACGGCTCACATTGAGACGCGTCTGGAGAACCTAGAGCAAGACGACACTCTTTCGAGTGTTGCCAACTTTTTCTGCAATGAGGCACTACGTTCGGCATTGCAGCGACCTCCCACCTCCTCTGACACGGCCACACCACAGAACTCCTCGGACTCTGTGGCGCGCAGCCCTGACATGAGCAGGCTGCAGCAGAGTATGAGACACGGTCCACACTCTGCTGCACAGGAGCGCTGCATGGCAAACACGGCAGCGTCGCCCGCGGTAAATTGCGACAGCCCGACATCGGAGCAGGAGGTTTCCCAGGCTGAGGGCACTGAGCACGTGGTGCATGTGGAACACGCTACTGAGCACGTGGCGCATGTGGAACACGCTGCTGTCCAGCCAATGCGCCGGTTCCCCATGCCGGATCTGCCACGTGCACTTCGAGCCCCACGCCATCAGAGAGACCTCCGCTCTTTTTACGTGGAAAACTTTCCACATCGCTACGTCAGGTCTCAATTCCAGGATGCGTTTGAGTCCCTCCTACGGGACCGTGGAGCCTACCCGCATGGGGTCCTCCCTGCCAACCCTGGCCCCTTGACTGCAGAGCCGAGTGCTACAGCGATGCGACGGATCTTCCCACCACCCGTGGTGCCGAATCCCGTTTCATCCCCGCCCAGGCCTGCCCCTGCCATGGCAGCAGAGCAGCGACCCCCATCGGAGAGAGGCCTTCCAGGACCTGGCCCACTGCGACAGCCCTTGCGACAGCCTCCGTCACCCGCGACGCATGGCTCTGTCTCACGACCTGTCCAGCCCAGGCCCACCACGTCCCACCGACAGGAGCAGCCAGTGTCTACGCCTCCGCGCCCGACACCTTCGCCGCGGACTCGACGAACACCTCCTCACACCTCGATGCCAGAACGGCCGTCCACACCTCGCTCTCCGGAGGCTGGACCGCCGCCCCTGACACCACGGGCCTCACCAGCACAGCGGGCACCCTCGACACGCACGACACGGACGCAGGCATCTCCGCGTGCAGCATCACAGGAGCTGCGACGTCCTCCCCCTGCTCCAGTGGACCCTCCGGTTGCTCCGCCACCGCGAGACCACCCAGCAGCACAGGGGACACGCACAGATGCTGAGGCCATCCCTCCCCAGCCAGAGCGATGCTCAGGCCAGCCAGCTCCGGGACGAACGCCCGAGCCACCGGCTGCGCCACCTCCGCCACTGGCCACTGGAGCAGAAGATGGCTACACACTTGGAGGCTTCAAGAACATCGATGGAGCCTTCAACAGCATCCTTGCGAGCTCCCTGCGAGAATTTCTGCAGGAGTACAACACTCTGGTGTCGTCGAGATCAGCTCTCCAGGGCCTCAAGGACCTGAAAGAGCAGAAGAAACGCCCGCAGTCGCTCCGCACACGCCCACCGAAGCTCAAGGTGTCTCGACATGCCCAGGACGGCCTCACGAGCAGAATTGCTGAGGCGCACGAGCGCTACCTCACGGAGCTGCACGACATTCTCATTAAGGCTCGCGAGGACGAGATCGAGACACTCCAGAGGCTCGTCTCCTCGGGTCTCAGGGATCTCTTTCGCAGCCGACTCGAGGATCTTGTCACCTCCACACTCAGCTACTGCAGCGCCACAGAGCACGATGCCGTCTACCACCACCTGCTCGCCCTCAAACAACGGTGTACCCTCAAGTTCCACACTGAGACATCGTTCTTTATGGCCGGCAAGGGAATCGAGCACCGAGCGCAGACGACAGCGACGCGGCGATTGGAGGAAGCCATCGATGCGGCGAACGCCTCTGCGGATGCCCTCCCCAAAGAGCAGACCATGGCAGAGCTTGTGAACGCCGCTGTTACGAAGGCCCTCCAAAGCCAGCGACATGCCACGCCGTCGAATGCAGGAAAAAAGAAGAGAAAGCGAGAAAAGAAGAACAAAGCGCGAGAGCAACGTGACGGCACACCGGGTAAGCATGCGCAGGAATCGAGCAAGAGGCACCGCGTCTCCTTCGCCGCCAACGCCGACGAAGCTGGATCCCGGTCGGCAACACCCGCCCGCAATGACCAGGGAAACGGACAGCGGCGGAACGGGGCTACTGGGACTCCTCCCACCCGTTCCGCTGCATCGGCTTCTTCTTCGAGGGGGACTCCGCGCCGGACATCTCCAGCCCGGCCTGGTTCCCGCGAAAAGAATGCTGGACGCGATGGCCCTCACCGTTCTGGCCGCAGCAGCTCCCCACAGCGGCGCCCACGCTCCACGACACCGGCACCGGTCACCTCAGGTCCCCAGCGACCTCGAGGACGTTCACCGACCAGAGGCAGCAAGGGAGCTCGCACACGCAGCCCTCGACCTCGCCCTGGACGGAGCCAGACCCCTGCCAGCCGCAGGAGCAGGACCCCAGCACCACGACGCCGCTCTCGCTCGCGCTCACGTTCGCCAACCGCCAAAGTCCCCATGAGGGGAATCCTCAAGACTACTGGTCACCACTGACCAGTCCGTCTAAGGCTATCCTCGACATTGCGGGACAACGGCCAGTCTCGAAGTTCGAGAACCGAGTGGAGACTGGAGCTGTACACAACCTCTCGAGCAGGACTCTCTCAGCTGCCGAGATCCGTCTCCTCTCCCTCGGCCTGAGGTACATCCCGAACCCGGCACCGCTCAGAGCCCCACAGATCGTGGAAAGCTCTGATGCTCTCTGCCGAGCCGTCCGACTCCGTCACCTCTTCAAGGACGACGACTCAGCCCTGCCGGAGTTCCGAGTACCAAACCCGAGCTTCGAGCCGCCTCCAGCACCAGCGCATGTGGAACGACGCCTAGCACACTTGCGAGGCAGCCTGCTCCACAGGCTTGAAGGAGCACACAAGCCTCGCTCCTTCGCTCACGGTTGGAAGAAGCGTGCCCTCCGCTCTCTCGCGACGGACACCTCCATCGTCATCAAGCCCGCGGATAAAAACCTTGGAGCGGTGATTCTGGATCGCGATTGGTACACGAGGGAGGCTCTGCGCCAACTGAACGACCCACTCGTTTATGTGAAGATCCCCTCCGTGCCATCCAAGGCCCTCCAGGAACGCCTCGCCGAGCTCATCACAAAGTACCGCAGCTGCTCGTGGCTCGACAACTCCACGCAGCAGTTCCTGCTGCACCAGCCCGCCGTACCCCGGCAGGCTTGCATGCTGTATTTTCTTCCGAAAATACACAAGCAGCCAATAAAGGGCCGGCCAATTGCGAGCTATATCGGCACTTTGTGGGAGCCCCTCGCGCGGTGGCTTCACCGCCAGCTCTACAACATCCTGCTGAAGCAGCCAACGTTTCTTGCTGATTCGCTCACGCTGCTGCAGGACCTCCTCCACCTACGGCTCCCACGGGACTGCTGGCTCTTCACGTTCGACGTAGAGAGCCTCTACCCAAGCATCCCCACACGAGAAGGTCTCCAACGCCTCCGCGACTTTGTGTTTGCCGAGTACGGCAACACCACACGCTCGCGGTTCCTCATGGCTGCGGCTGCCCTCGTTCTGGAGCACAACTACGTGGAGTTTGACGGTAACATCTACCAGCAGATCCGCGGCACAGCAATGGGCTCCAACTTCGCGGTGGTCTACGCTTGCCTCTTCCTCTGCTCTCTCGAAGCCGAGTACAAGCATGCCACCAACGACTGGCCCTTCTACCTACGAAGGTACATAGATGACGGAGTGGGCATTTGGACAGGTACACGAGCAGGCCTCGAACGATGGCTCCGAGGATACGGCACGCTGTGTCCTTCGATCAAGATCACCTCGGTGATCTCGCTCGAAGAGTTGGATATCCTCGATATCCACTTCTTCAAAGGCCCTCGCTTTGAAGAGACAGGCTGCCTCGACTCGTCCACGTTCCAGAAGCCGCTCAACGCCTACCAGTACCTCCCCTGGACGTCGGTTCACCCACGGCACCAAAAAGTGGCATTCATCCGCAGCGAGCTCCGGAGATACCTCCTCCGTGAGAGCACGGCCGATGGATTCTACGCCATGCGCACGCGGTTCTACCACCGCCTCCGTGCCCGAGGATACCCGACCTCCTTCCTCCACCACTGCTTCTCCGGCATCTCCTACGACCAGCGACATCAAGCTCTCCTTGCACGTTCGCGCCGCTCTAGCGACGCCTGTCGACGGGCCCCCCTCGCCTTCAAGCTGCCCTACACACTCCACAGTGCGCAGCTAGGCTTGGGGGACATCCTAAACCCTAAACAGGTGATGGATGAAGCTCCCACAGACACACTCCCCCGAGTGATCACGTGCTGGAGACGCTCCCCGAACCTCGGTTCATTTCTGGTCAGGGCTAAGCTCCCTCTGCGAGCTTAGCCACGTCTTGTACCGCACTTTGCAAGACACGGACACTTATGTTTGCATCTTTCTCCGCGTACCCGATGACTCCCAGGGTCTCGCCGATGGACTTCAGGTATGTCCCAAGTCACTCCAGGCCACCCCCCTTTCGAGTCAACGCCCGGTCAACGCGGAGTCAACGGTCAGAACGGAATATTCCCCAATATTCCGACTGTATCCCTGTTGACCGAGTCAAAACGGCATATACCCTTGGATTCTGCTCTTCCTTCCGATCGTGAATATGTGAGTTTCAACTCTGAACTCCACACACGACTCGTGGAAAAGCATGTTTTCCATTAAAACGGCGCCGCTCCCTCGACATCGGCGACACATGCCGACAGCTCGCAGGATGGCTCTCCCCCATGTAACCGCTGGACTCCGGGTATGTATGAGTGACCTCAGGCCCTCCACCATCCCAGTCCACACACGGTCAACGCGGGGTCAACGGTCAACGACCGAATATTCCGAGAATATTCCCTGCAAAGTGAACCACGTTTTTCGCCCCCGGGTACGTACAAGTGACACAAGCATTGTGGACGTAACGCATGCATCATATCATGCCGCGTTTACAAGTTATCTTGCGTCGAAGGTACGTCACCCGCCGGACGAACGCTTACTGTCTTCGGCGATTCGCCGAAGTCATTCTCCGCGACTACCACTGCTGTGGAGTAACCAACACCAGCTGTGCTACGTTCGCATCCTCGCGAGCCAACGCCGCCATGCACCTCGCATGGCTGCCACTCGGACTCGCGCCACGTGACAGAGCCAGAATATAAGTAGAGCCGGCACCGAGCTAGGGTTAGGGTAGACGTTAGACGACTACACCCGGCTGATGAGTCCCAAAAAGGACGAAACCGGTCTCGGGTTGTCTCTTGTCTTCTCCCTCGCTCGCGAATGAATGAAAATTCATTCTCTTGCCTCCTCTACTTGCTCTCGATCACGCCGTCTCGACAACGGCACACGGAGAATGTGGATTGCACAAAGTGGCGCCGCGATCTCGCCGGATTGCAGCACCACGGGGTGCCTTTGACCCTAAACGCCTAAACGCGCCTAAATCCTAAACTCTCTGCGGTTCAAAAGCATCCAAGCGGGCCTCACCAGCTTTGCTTGGTTGCAAAAGTACATCCCACGCACCAAGTAAGCTTAAGTTCTCACATTGTTTCTCTTGTCTCCAACAGAATCCAGTAAATTCGAACAAGAATCTCCTAGAATCGGACCTCTCTGCCAATGGAAGGCCAACACAACTCCATGCATTGGCTCTGGAACAGGAGAAACGAGCCACAATGCCCCTCACTCCCCTCGCACGGGTCTGGCACAGCAAATCTCCAGGCCGGGCATTTGTACTGGCCTCTGCGCGCTGCATCCCACCGCCAGAGTGCCACAAGAATCCCCACCCGGAGCTGCTCACTGCCACTAAGAGTCTGGGAGCTAGCTTGAAATCTCCACTTAGCAGTTCTCCTGGCGTCTAGCGCAGCCCAGCTCCCCTGTTTTGGGTCCGGCACAGCAAATCCCTCACAAGGGCTTTTTACCTCCTTTGGCTTGCTGCTTCGGCACCACCAAAGGACCACTAAAAACGCCATGAGAATGCTGCCTGCCACTCAGAGCGCCCAAGCTGCCTAGACATTTGCCACAGAACTGCGAAGAATCCACCCAATCTGAGAGCAAACACACTGCCCGCTCACGTTGCTGCTCTCTCTCCCTTCTCGCCCATCCTCCACCGTCAGATCCCCTTGATCCAACGGCCCACAACGGTCAAGCACTGAGCGCAAAAAATTCTAAGTCCCCGCACTTAGTTTTTGTCTCTTGCTTTTTGTCTCTTGTGGCTACGGAGTGGGGAGCAACGGGAGAAAGCACGTGAGCGCAGCAGCTGTGTTTTTGAGCCTGCCAGACTACGGCTTAAGGTCTGCCCTGCCCTCCCCTCCTCTCTGGAGGAAGGGCTCCTTCGTTCTGTTCCTCCTCGCCTGGGGCTAACCCAAAATCGCCACAGCAGCCGCCACAGCAGCTCGGCCCTGCCAGCAGCAGCAGCCGCCGACCCAGCCAACGCCAGCAGCTGCCGCGGCCGCCACAGCACGACCAGCTGCCCGCGGCTGCCACACCCAGCGCTCGGGCGAGCACCCGCCGCCCAACGCGCCGCGGCTTGGCCGGCCCAGCAGCGCCAAGCAGCACCACGGGCTGCTACGCACTGCTGCACGCCGCCAATCGCCGCCCAGGGCCGCCCCACGCGCCCCCACGCGCGCTGGATAAGCACTCGCCGCCACAACCACCGCCTGGGCAAGCATTCGCTGCCCAACGAGTGGCTGCTCGGCTCGGCCTAGCAGCGCCAAGCAGCATCACAGGCTGCTGTGCGCTGCTGCACCATCCCGCGCCGCCCAGTACCGCCTGGTACCGCCTGGCATCGCCCTGCGACGCGCGACGCCGCCCATACCACGCAGTACCGCCCGTACCGCCCGGCACCGCCCAGCGACGCGCTACACCGCCCGGCATCACCCAGCGACGCGCGGTACCGCCCAGCGACGCGCGGTACTGCCCGTACCGCCCGGTACCGCCCAGCGACGCGCGGTACCACCCGTACCGCCCGGTACCGCCCCGCGCCGCCCAGCGCCGCGCAGCGTCTCTAGCACCGCGGCTGCCCCCAGCACTACGGCTGCCACCAGTGACGCCCAGTGATGCCAGCGACGCCGCCGCCACCTTTACCATCTGCTGCTCTAGTGCCTATTCCAGACAGTCACGACGTCATGGACCCCTCACTGCTCATGCCACCAGGGCCAGCAGCACCAGGGAGCTCCAACCACGCCATGGCTACTGCAGAGACAGGTTACGCTCCAGTTCCTCCAGCTCCAGTGCTCCAATTTGAGCTGGGAACCACGTCACGAGCTACCTCGTCGCGTGAACACTCCCAGCTCCTCGCTGAGGCCATCTACGACGAACGTGCGTCGCACCGACCACTCTCGCCGTACCTCAAGCGAGTTCTGGACACTAGACGTGCGCTGCGGCTCCGCACCACGCATGTCATCACGGCTCACATTGAGACGCGTCTGGAGAACCTAGAGCAAGACGACACTCTTTCGAGTGTTGCCAACTTTTTCTGCAATGAGGCACTACGTTCGGCATTGCAGCGACCTCCCACCTCCTCTGACACGGCCACACCACAGAACTCCTCGGACTCTGTGGCGCGCAGCCCTGACATGAGCAGGCTGCAGCAGAGTATGAGACACGGTCCACACTCTGCTGCACAGGAGCGCTGCATGGCAAACACGGCAGCGTCGCCCGCGGTAAATTGCGACAGCCCGACATCGGAGCAGGAGGTTTCCCAGGCTGAGGGCACTGAACACGTGGTGCATGTGGAACACGCTACTGAGCACGTGGCGCATGTGGAACACGCTGCTGTCCAGCCAATGCGCCGGTTCCCCATGCCGGATCTGCCACGTGCACTTCGAGCCCCACGCCATCAGAGAGACCTCCGCTCTTTTTACGTGGAAAACTTTCCACATCGCTACGTCAGGTCTCAATTCCAGGATGCGTTTGAGTCCCTCCTACGGGACCGTGGAGCCTACCCGCATGGGGTCCTCCCTGCCAACCCTGGCCCCTTGACTGCAGAGCCGAGTGCTACAGCGATGCGACGGATCTTCCCACCACCCGTGGTGCCGAATCCCGTTTCATCACCGCCCAGGCCTGCCCCTGCCATGGCAGCAGAGCAGCGACCCCCATCGGAGAGAGGCCTTCCAGGACCTGGCCAACTGCGACAGCCCTTGCGACAGCCTCCGTCACCCGCGACGCATGGCTCTGTCTCACGACCTGTCCAGCCCAGGCCCACCACGTCCCACCGACAGGAGCAGCCAGTGTCTACGCCTCCGCGCCCGACACCTTCGCCGCGGACTCGACGAACGCCTCCTCACACCTCGATGCCAGAACGGCCGTCCACACCTCGCTCTCCGGAGGCTGGACCGCCGCCCCTGACACCACGGGCCTCACCAGCACAGCGGGCACCCTCGACACGCACGACACGAACGCAGGCATCTCCGCGTGCAGCGTCGCAGGAGCTGCGACGTCCTCCCCCTGCTCCAGTGGACCCTCCGGTTGCTCCGCCACCGCGAGACCACCCAGCAGCACAGGGGACACGCACAGATGCTGAGGCCATCCCTCCCCAGCCAGAGCGATGCTCAGGCCAGCCAGCTCCGGGACGAACGCCCGAGCCACCGGCTGCGCCACCTCCGCCACTGGCCACTGGAGCAGAAGATGGCTACACACTTGGAGGCTTCAAGAACATCGATGGAGCCTTCAACAGCATCCTTGCGAGCTCCCTGCGAGAATTTCTGCAGGAGTACAACACTCTGGTGTCGTCGAGATCAGCTCTCCAGGGCCTCAAGGACCTGAAAGAGCAGAAGAAACGCCCGCAGTCGCTCCGCACACGCCCACCGAAGCTCAAGGTGTCTCGACATGCCCAGGACGGCCTCACGAGCAGAATTGCTGAGGCGCACGAGCGCTACCTCACGGAGCTGCACGACATTCTCATTAAGGCTCGCGAGGACGAGATCGAGACACTCCAGAGGCTCGTCTCCTCGGGTCTCAGGGATCTCTTTTGCAGCCGACTCGAGGATCTTGTCACCTCCACACTCAGCTACTGCAGCGCCACGGAGCACGATGCCGTCTACCACCACCTGCTCGCCCTCAAACAACGGTGTACCCTCAAGTTCCACACTGAGACATCGTTCTTTATGGCCGGCAAGGGAATCGAGCACCGAGCGCAGACGACAGCGACGCGGCGATTGGAGGAAGCCATCGATGCGGCGAACGCCTCTGCGGATGCCCTCCCCAAAGAGCAGACCATGGCAGAGCTTGTGAACGCCGCTGTTACGAAGGCCCTCCAAAGCCAGCGACATGCCACGCCGTCGAATGCAGGAAAAAAGAAGAGAAAGCGAGAAAAGAAGAACAAAGCGCGAGAGCAACGTGACAGCACACCGGGTAAGCATGCGCAGGAATCGAGCAAGAGGCACCGCGTCTCCTTCGCCGCCAACGCCGACGAAGCTGGATCCCGGTCGGCAACACCCGCCCGCAATGACCAGGGAAACGGACAGCGGCGGAACGGGGCTACTGGGACTCCTCCCACCCGTTCCGCTGCATCGGCTTCTTCTTCGAGGGGGACTCCGCGCCGGACATCTCCAGCCCGGCCTGGTTCCCGCGAAAAGAATGCTGGACGCGATGGCCCTCACCGTTCTGGCCGCAGCAGCTCCCCACAGCGGCGCCCACGCTCCACGACACCGGCACCGGTCACCTCAGGTCCCCAGCGACCTCGAGGACGTTCACCGACCAGAGGCAGCAAGGGAGCTCGCACACGCAGCCCTCGACCTCGCCCTGGACGGAGCCAGACCCCTGCCAGCCGCAGGAGCAGGACCCCAGCACCACGACGCCGCTCTCGCTCGCGCTCACGTTCGCCAACCGCCAAAGTCCCCGTGAAGGGAATCCTCAAGACTACTGGTCACCACTGACCAGTCCGTCTAAGGCCACCCTCGACATCGCAGGACAACGGCCAGTCTCGAAGTTCGAGAACCGAGTGGAGACTGGAGCCGTACACAACCTCTCGAGCAGGACTCTCTCAGCTGCCGAGATCCGTCTCCTCTCCCTCGGCCTGAGGTACATCCCGAACCCGGCACCGCTCAGAGCCCCACAGATCGTGGAAAGCTCTGATGCTCTCTGCCGAGCCGTCCGACTCCGTCACCTCTTCAAGGACGACGACTCAGCCCTGCCGGAGTTCCGAGTACCAAACCCGAGCTTCGAGCCGCCTCCAGCACCAGCGCATGTGGAACGACGCCTAGCACACTTGCGAGGCAGCCTGCTCCACAGGCTTGAAGGAGCACACAAGCCTCGCTCCTTCGCTCACGGTTGGAAGAAGCGTGCCCTCCGCTCTCTCGCGACGGACACCTCCATCGTCATCAAGCCCGCGGATAAAAACCTTGGAGCGGTGATTCTGGATCGCGATTGGTACACGAGGGAGGCTCTGCGCCAACTGAACGACCCACTCGTTTATGTGAAGGTCCCCTCCGTGCCATCCAAGGCCCTCCAGGAACGCCTCGCCGAGCTCATCACAAAGTACCGCAGCTGCTCGTGGCTCGACAACTCCACGCAGCAGTTCCTGCTGCACCAGCCCGCCGTACCCCGGCAGGCTTGCATGCTGTATTTTCTTCCGAAAATACACAAGCAGCCAATAAAGGGCCGGCCAATTGCGAGCTATATCGGCACTTTGTGGGAGCCCCTCGCGCGGTGGCTTCACCGCCAGCTCTACGACATCCTGCTGAAGCAGCCAACGTTTCTTGCTGATTCGCTCACGCTGCTGCAGGACCTCCTCCACCTACGGCTCCCACGGGACTGCTGGCTCTTCACGTTCGACGTAGAGAGCCTCTACCCAAGCATCCCCACACGAGAGGGTCTCCAACGCCTCCGCGACTTTGTGTTTGCCGAGTACGGCAACACCACACGCTCGCGGTTCCTCATGGCTGCGGCTGCCCTCGTTCTGGAGCACAACTACGTGGAGTTTGACGGTAACATCTACCAGCAGATCCGCGGCACAGCAATGGGCTCCAACTTCGCGGTGGTCTACGCTTGCCTCTTCCTCTGCTCTCTCGAAGCCGAGTACAAGCATGCCACCAACGACTGGCCCTTCTACCTACGAAGGTACATAGATGACGGAGTGGGCATTTGGACAGGTACACGAGCAGGCCTCGAACGATGGCTCCGAGGATACGGCACGCTGTGTCCTTCGATCAAGATCACCTCGGTGATCTCGCTCGAAGAGTTGGATATCCTCGATATCCACTTCTTCAAAGGCCCTCGCTTTGAAGAGACAGGCTGCCTCGACTCGTCCACGTTCCAGAAGCCGCTCAACGCCTACCAGTACCTCCCCTGGACGTCGGTTCACCCACGGCACCAAAAAGTGGCATTCATCCGCAGCGAGCTCCGGAGATACCTCCTCCGTGAGAGCACGGCCGATGGATTCTACGCCATGCGCACGCGGTTCTACCACCGCCTCCGTGCCCGAGGATACCCGACCTCCTTCCTCCACCACTGCTTCTCCGGCATCTCCTACGACCAGCGACATCAAGCTCTCCTTGCACGTTCGCGCCGCTCTAGCGACGCCTGTCGACGGGCCCCCCTCGCCTTCAAGCTGCCCTACACACTCCACAGTGCGCAGCTAGGCTTGGGGGACATCCTAAACCCTAAACAGGTGATGGATGAAGCTCCCGCAGACACACTCCCCCGAGTGATCACGTGCTGGAGACGCTCCCCGAACCTCGGTTCATTTCTGGTCAGGGCTAAGCTCCCTCTGCGAGCTTAGCCACGTCTTGTACCGCACTTTGCAAGACACGGACACTTATGCTTGCATCTTTCTCCGCGTACCCGATGACTCCCAGGGTCTCGCCGATGGACTTCAGGTATGTCCCAAGTCACTCCAGGCCACCCCCCTCTCGAGTCAACGCCCGGTCAACGCGGAGTCAACGGTCAGAACGGAATATTCCCCAATATTCCGACTGTATCCCTGTTGACCGAGTCAAAACGGCATATACCCTTGGATTCTGCTCTTCCTTCCGATCGTGAATATGTGAGTTTCAACTCTGAACTCCACACACGACTCGTGGAAAAGCATGTTTTCCATTAAAACGGTGCCGCTCCCTCGACATCGGCGACACATGCCGACAGCTCGC